TTTACTAACTAGCGGGATGCCGCGCTTCGCGCGGCACCCGCTAGATGGGTGGAGTTGACTGTTTCGTAATAATTACTGTATACAATGAAATCTCGATAATTTAAACTCCAATAACTCCAAACAACTGTTAAGTCAAATAAAGAATCAGACCCTCTGCTGCAGGTGAGCCTATTTGGACTGGCCATCAGTCTCGCCTAAGTTGTATTTGCGTTTAGCAACGTGCGCGCACATAACGTTTCCTGCGGAGATTGGGCGAGGGTCCAGGACATATTGTCAATATAGGGGAAGGGACTCAAGGGTGCTAGTTGGAACGCCCAATTTCCGTAAAACCCGTCAACCATGTCACCAATATTTCCGGGGATGGGGAGAAATATTTCCAGGGATGGGGAGAAATGGTTTTTGTTATAGAGGGGAGATGGTGATATTGAAATCGCTGATATTGTGGAGGTTTATGTTTGTGCTAGGATTCATATTGTTTAAATGTTGTTTTAAATTGCGCGCCGATTAGGAAGGTCTTGCTGTCAACAGTTGAATGAAATTAAGTATTTATTGCCCACCGATTGTCTCATGCGATGTCTCATTATATAAAGCTCATAAATAATGTTGTGCTAGAATATTGTCCAGTCAATTTGAACATTGATTTTTCAAGGTGCCAAACCATTAAGGACGTATACTATACACCAACTGTACAATTAGGTAATTTAGATGAAACGCGGTTTGATCTTGGCCTATACAACGTCGTATCCATCGTTCTCACTACAGAGGAGAGGAGGGGGCATCCAGTGGGGGTGGGGTTGGATATTGTGTGGGCGTCGCCAGGATTTTTTCTAGGGGGGGGGCCAAAACATATTTTTGCCTAAAAAATGCCTGTTTTTCTCAACACATTCTCGATTTATCAGTTTTAGAGGGGGGCAGGGACGTTTTGCCCCCCCCCCCCAAACCCATTAAATTCACACCACTATGACTTTGCGCCTCTTTTTTGTTTTGTTTTTTTGCTTTTCCGGGGGGGGGAGTGCCCCCCCCCCCTCTCGCGACGCCCATGCCTATTTATGTTACTGTGAATGGTCACTTATATTTCCGGGGAAGTGGGCAACAATTTATATTTGTTATGGTGAAGGGGGTGTTTCTTATGTATTAAGTAGAAGTTAATGTCATTATAGCAGTTGGTGTTTTTATTATGGTGATGGGGTTGTACAGCAAAGTATTGTAACACGTTTATTTGCAGAAGAGAGTAAAACTAAAAGAAAGGACATATTGGAGCACTTCATAATTATGTCAAGCACCACATGTTAAATGTATTTATTACAAAACTGTGAAAATAAAATCAGGTATACACGAATTTTTTTAGTAATAATGTATTTGCATTCATTACTGTACAGGGTAGTACTTCGACAAAACTCAGGGGATATAATTGTAGTCAGTTTTCGGAGCAATTTTCGCAAGGGACGTCGGTTCAGGCTTGTTTACCATAGGCACGAACATTCCATGAAAGATTTTCAAGCAAGACGGCCAAAGGTTATTGTGCAATTGCAGTTTTTTGTGTTAAAAGCTGTAATCATAAATAATGACAGTGGCATTGTAAGTTACAGGACAACATTTTTTTAATGAGTGTTGGTGAAAACTCATGAGATATGGAGGGGTATGCGAGTATGAATATTTTGTTGTGAAATTTTAAGAGTGATTATGTAATTTGGTAATCAAAGACATTGTTTTGTTATCAAATAAGTTTGCCAGGGTCGACACAGTCTGCTTGGCCAGTAATTATCGGGTAGTCATTCCATCATTATTCTTGGGTACAACTAAGCCAAGGATATAATGTAAAAAAAGGATGGACATAAAACAGCAGAAAAGAGTGATTTTTTTTTCACTATTTCATGACTTCTAAAAATGAAATTATGGCTAGAAGGAAAATGTGTTTTGAATGGGTAAAGAGAAAAAGCAGGAATCTTGCAGTTGAACTGGAAAGAATAGGTGTGTCACGTCTTCGTCTTGAGTTGAGATTATTGCTTTGGGAACTGGTTGAAGCATGCACTGGAGCATGCTTGGAGCATGGTTTGAGCTGGTCATGTGATGTGGGTGTCATCGGGAGTCCTGTGTAAAGGAGTTAGAAAGAAAAGAATAACGACTAATAAGGTGAAGAAAACTTGTAAAAAAAATACATCGGCTAACAATAGCTACAAATAAATTAGACAGGTGTTGCAATACCCCATTTATGCGGAATGCACTACTGAAGTACTAACCAAACATGCCAAACAACGAAACATGTCTTAGTTATATGTTGTATTTTTGTGCCCCCCCCCCCCACAAACAACAATGCTTCTCATTGCCAGTGGCGTTCGAAAGAATACCACTTTTCACAAACAACAATACTTATCACAAATGAGACTCACCGTTCAAAGAGAAAACTGGAGCAAGGAACAGATACATCAACCATCTGTCCTTGCTCTATGCATCAACCATGTCAACAACGCTGTGCTGAAGAAATGTGGGGCAAGTTGCATGCGCTGCATGCTCATAACGAACGTATACGTGGCACGTCAATTATCCGGCCCATACGCTGCATGCTCATAACGAACGTATACGACGTGGCACGTCAATTATCCGGCCCATACGCAAGATGGCCGGCGCGGCCGGCTCAATGGGGAAGGGAATTATGGGAAAATAGGGTGGAAATAGCCGGGCCCCGTTCCGCATCCCCCGCAGCCAACGGGCGCGATGGGGACGGGAGACCGGTCGGGAAAATGGCAGCGCCCCCGAATCATTTTCGTGATTGTAGTATAGATGGAGATCAATGTGTGCAACGGTTACAGCGCCTCCTAGTGTTAAATGACTAGTGCACAACACTATGATCGACATCGAAGTAAGGTTATTCCGTGCACGACGATTTTGGACAAACAGTAGAGGTTGATATTAGGGATTTTGTGCCTTTTCCAATCTTCTCTGATGCGGATATTAAAAGCTAAACATGTCATCGTAATAAAACAACAACACAGGAAAATTGGGTTTACGATCGTCATGGTAATTAGTTCTGAATCGCCGCAAAGACAAGTTCCATCAATTATTGATATAATCTGAAGGCTGTCCGGTCCACCAAATTGTCATCACTCAAAGTATGCGCGTTGACAACAAACAGCCATCAAGGTTATTTTCTCTACAGGCCGGCAGTAAACATTTATTCTGCAACCAATTAAGTAGGTTTATGGTCAATACCACAATAGGCACCTTGGCCTAGTAATTATTCTTAGTAATATTTATTTTAGCACTATAAAAATGGACGCTGTAGTTTTTTATTTTGCAAAATGTGAATGTTCTTATTTTCTCGTGTTTAAACCAAGTCCTTAAAGGGAATATACAACATTTGCAAACATCAAAAAAAACTACCAAGTTTTTACGAAATACCCTACTAGGATGTTGGTAAATGACAGTCTAAAGCATCCTGTAAAATTATGGCACCTGGTGTCAAGTCATTTTCAAGAAAATGGTATTTTTGTATACATTTCCAACGGTGGTCGACCGACCACCGTTGGAAAAACCTAACTATTTTTCAACTACTGCTCCAAATTTACAATTTTTTTTCAGTCCAAATTTAGTTTGCTATTGGTTACATGTTCATGAATGGGTGCAGGCCAGCTAGACTGGTTCCCTTACCTTACAATTTTCCGACATCTATAAATTGATCCATTTTATCTTTGGTGGAGTCAGGGAACCAGATTACTTAAACAATTTTTGTTTTCTTGGTTTTTCAAGCATTTTCAAACACAAAACTTAAAACATGTCACTTAAACAATATTTGATCTATTATACTAACCCCTCAAATAGTTCATTTCTGAAAATTACAGCAAAAGCCAATGATGTACATTCCCTTTAATTTTCACTGGAATTACTTCACTTTTTTTGTTTCCGATATATTACGGGTGGGTTTTTAAGGGCACCGCCAAAACACCATACTATTAAAAATTGAACCGTGTTTTGAATGAGGTATTTGCACCTTATTTCCACCAGAATCTCCAAAACTCTGTACGTTTCCGTGGATGTACTAGCCTTGACCAAGCCTATCAGCTTGTTCACATACGAACTTGTTCCCGCTACTGCACACCGCGCGCGCCGCGACACAATCACTAGTTGTACTATACCGTTAGCCTCAACGACCCTTGCGTGTGCTTTGTGTGCATGTACGTACGCCCCACACACACTTCCGCAAACAGCCGTACGTACAGCAAGTCGAGGCCTCGACTTACTGTACGGCTGTTTGCGGAAGTGAGTGTGGGGCGTATGTACATGCACACAAAGCACACGCAAGGGTCGTTGGGGCTAATGGTATAGTACAACATTGTGTTGCTGCGCGCGCGGTGTGCGGTAGCGGGAACAAGCTCATATGGGAACAAGCTGATAGCCTTGGTCAAGGCTATGGATGTACATGTTTTGCAGTGTGTGTGAATTTGAGGGAAATAATGGCAGAGCACGCCCAAATCCCAAATTCAGTGTATTGGATTTAACAATAATAGTTATGAACGATGGAGTGGAGCCCACGATGCGGCCTATCTACAATTACATCCGAGAAAGTCATTAGCAGAAAAATGAGACTTTGAAAGTGGCACCTATATAAAAAGGAACATAATTATGTCAGACTCAGTTTTCTCACGGGAGTTAATTTGAGCTCCTCCCTGGTAAAATATATTCAACGCGTAATAGGGAAACATTAATACAGTCGGGATTATGTCCAAAAAGAACATGCTCGTCAAATGTATTTGTTTTTTGTTTTGTGATTGATGATGACACCGAAGTGATATTACATCAGAAAACATCATAGGCAAGATTACAGGGGTTAAAGGGGGTCTAATAAACCTCTCCCCGCCGTTACGAAAACAATGCAGAAAAACCACATGCCGCCATCACCCCGCCCCCCCCCCTACCCCGCCAGGCTGCATCCGCCCCTTACTTAGTATTCCATTCTGGGACTAAGACAGTGTAATTATGGAGCTGTCCTTGCTTCACCCACCTGAGCTGAAGTGACGAACACACCTCCGTAAACGTGTCTCTTGGGGCATCATTACGTGTCTCTCAGGGCATCATTACCGGGGGCTTTGTTGCTTTTCCTCGGAATTTTTTTGGAATTCATCTTTTCCAAGTCACGTTTTGCCACTGAAGGCATAACAAGCTCATTAAAGTCGTGTCAGAGACTCCTCTGACGTCAGCATTTGTGACACTCAGTTTGGTGTCATTTCAACCGATAAGATATGACATGTAGTTACATGTAGCCACGGTATTTAATCCTTCTTGACTCCCAGATGACTATGAACGTGTAGAGTTTGCCTGATATTAACCATCGTCTGTCATCATCCTTAATGACCCTTATACGTTGATGACCGCGGTTTTGATAACCATTTTGAGTGTCCACAGACAAGCTCAATGCAATCAGCCTGCCCCGTATACAATGCATCGCTGCCAGTGACGACCATTGTACTCCTTGAATGCTGTGCCTTTTAATTTCTCCAGTAGCCTTTATAGTTGCATGCAGTGACGAACCCATCACATAATACACACTGCCCGTGACTTGGTTGGCGTCATCACAATGCTCTCTTAGTCAATCACAAGTTTTCAAGGTAGCATTTGCAAACGGCATCTTCAAGTGTTGCATCATTGTATCATCATCATTCATTTTCTCAGTTAAATAGACTGATCAGAAGCAGTTCTGCTCCACCAGTAGTACCAGGGAAGTTTAACAATGGAACTCGAAGGCCAACCTGAAAATGCAACACCTGGTTCTGACGGTGCTGATCTAGCTGGAGCACAGGATATCGCGATTGGCGTGGTTCTGTGGTTGATGTCCCTCTTCGGCGCAGCAGGCAACTGCCTGACGATCCTCGCCATCATCACCGACCGCCAGCTCCGCTCCCAATCGTCCAGTTACCTGATCGTCAACCTGGCCGTGGCTGACATGGTGGTCTTCGTGGTCATCGAGCCGTTCTTGGCCTTTGGTACAGCCACCCGTACCTGGCCCTTCTCCACACCGTTCTGCGCATCCCTTGGAGTCCTTGTCAACCAGCACATGGTGGTATCCGTGTGCAGCATGACGGCTATAGCCGTCAACAGGTACTACAGCGTGGTCAGGCGCACCAGCTATCACCGTGTGTTCACCGGTCCAAGGACCCTCATCATGTGCCTTGCCACATGGTTGCTTGGTTCAGCCTTATTCCTACCGCTGGTCGCATCCCCGTTCTATGCCAACTACAGCGCCTACTACGGCGTCTGCGTCGTTACATCGCAAGACACCAAACTGGGAAAGGCCGTAATTACACTGATTGCTTTGAATATTGTTGTCAACATAGTCATCAGCTCAGTGTGCTACCTGCAGATCTACCGGGAGGTGAGGAAGAGCAGGCTCCGAGTTATGCCGCAGGTACCCCTGCCTGGCAGTGACGGTCAACCTTCCGAAGACCAGCCCGCCTCGAATGGGTCAAATCAGAAAAACGGCGTCCCTGCACGGATGGCCATCGCTAAGCAGCAGATCCACCGAGCTGATGTCGCTATTTCTATCAACCTCTTCATCGTCTTTGCCGTATTCTGCATCTGCTGGACACCCTTGGCTATCTTCATCTTTATCCAGACCTCAGTTAGCGTGCAGCTCATTCCCGGTTCGGTGTGGCAGACAGCCTACAAATTGGTTCTCTTCAACTCCACGCTTAACATCTTCATCTACGCCTGGAAAAATCGCAAGTTGCGATCGGCCTATATCAAACTTTTGAGATGCCAAAGACGTACATGAGTAGTCCACATTGCGTGTATAACAAAGGCCGAGAATTAGGACAAAAACGCCTCACGTGTTACAAGTCTTAAATTCTGTAGGTAAACTTAAAGGCATGTAGGAACATTTGCAGCAAAATATTGTCATTCAGTACTGTTATTGGATACAGGGAACATGAATGAAATGGCGGCAGCATGATAACGGTTTCTTACCCGGAAACTGATACCTATAGGTAGGACTGGTACGAAATACCCTGTGATTATTCCGTGCCTGTCGTTTTGGAAGAAACCTAACATTGAAGGTTGTTTAAAAAACAATGAATGTGCCCATGGGCACATTCATTTTATATCATTTTTTATCATTTTATCTATTTACGAGAACCCAACAACTGTGCATACTTTTTCTCTCATTCATTCGTTAGGCATTTGCCCGTGGTCTCCTCCTCAAATTATACACAGTTGGGATCACTGGCTACACTCCCACCACAGCCCGTCTTTCCAGTACTGCTGCTTTCAGTTCGGTGGTGTCACACCCTGACCCTGCTTCGACCATATGCGCGTGCACAAGACCGTGACGCCCTCGCACACACACACGGCGGCCATTTTGAAGCTCTCTCGAAGCTCCCTCAAAGCCCCACAACGCACGGATCCGTATATAAAAAGCACAGAATTACAAAAGTTTAGGAATCAATTTGAGATCATCAAACACATTTTATTTATTCATTTTGCCCACAGTGTTATTTTACTCATGTTACATTTTGTTCAAATATATAATTTTATTTCATGACTTTGCGTAATGTTATGTGGCCAAAGGGAGTGTCAAAATGGCGTCCAGTGACTTCACTCCCACGGCCCGGCCCGAAGCGCTATCCAGTCAGTATATAATAGAGATCATTGATCTTTGGTCGGCATCCCTCAGTGGCATCCCATCCACAACAGATGTCGCCATGCCGCCCTGCCGAAGTATTCTCTGTTTACTTAAAATGTATAGAAATAATTATGTAGTATCCACTAAGCTAAAACTTCAACAAGTTAGATGTTAGGCACTTTTGTTATTTGGTTAAGATTTTTTGAACAATATTGTTGCTCCAAACGAAAATAGAAAATGCACCAAAAAAAAAAAGAAACTTTGTACAAAGATGTACCTTTAAGTACTTGCATGAATAACGATTATGTTTAAAACTATTTTTTTAAAGAATGACATTCTTAATCGAAAGTAATTCAGAAAGGTATGTAAAAACAAAAAAATCCACAACTGAAGTTCAGCATTTGAAAACCTGCAACACCTGTTCTAAATTTCTGTCCCACACCCATATGTAATTGTCGTTTCAGCAATTTCAGCAACGTTTAAAAACCTTTATAGGTAAAGAACTTCAAAGCCTAGGCTTTCAAAACTGGAGCTTCTCCACGGAACAAAATAAAAAAAATTTCTGGTAAATTAACAAGCCGTTGCCTATACTGGCACAAACAAACGTAATCACAGCAAGGTTCATTGCCCAATGACATCTTACCAATTTAATATTCGTTTTTACACCTGAGCCCCGCGCTTGTCGCGAGTTTTAGCTTTTTAACAACGCATAAAAAAATTACACTTTTTCTTTTTCAGACCACTCCACGATGTCACCATCTCGTGTTTTTCCCCTTGACGTTGTGTTTCGTGTATATTCTTGCAGTCTGTGTATACTGTCTTGTATTGTATGTTTATATGTGTTCGACTGTTCTCAACAGGCCTCCGTTTATACGAACTGCCCCATACATTTAAATTTATATAATTACCTTCTTGTGGAAAGTATGGTGATAAGTGTTGCCTTTGAATTGAATTGAATAAGTAAGACTCGAAGGATTGTATGTCAATAGATGTTACTTTGTGGCGGCACCCATGTGTATGCGTGTATAATGTATATCTCTTGTGTTGCTTTGTGTAGTTTTAAGAAGAACCATTTTTTTTGATATAACACGACGTTTTTATTAAATATACTTAACAGTGTGCTCTGTTTCAACCTCGTCCAAAGGGTGTCGAGCAGTGCGCGCCCACCACTACCTGCTCTCTAGCTCACTCTGGTATTGAATCATTTGCATGTGCGAGATTTTGAACGCATATGCAAATGAGGAATAGTCTGGTGCCTGCATGTCAATACATTAGCGTTTATTTTGTATGCGGTGTCTGGGGTAAAAACAGCATCAATTCGTCGCGCCGTGAGTTATGAAAACACGATTTTTTTGAAAGTCAAAATGTTATTATGCAGTATAACCTTTCATAGTAATATGAGCAAACTGGAAAGAAAAGGAGTATTTTGGCTGGAAGGCGTGGACGTTATAATTACAATGATCGTGAAAACACGTAACTCACATTGGAAATAACACCAACTACACGATTTAAATCCATTATTAGCAAATTGCGATATCGAATCAGGATACAGGAAGAAAGCTTCCTATCCAGGGCTTACTATTGGGAACGAGGTTGGAAATAAAGTAAGCACCGGGGACGAGGTCTGTCTGTCTGTCTTCAGTAAAAGATGTTACCAGCTAAAATGTCATGCAGTGGTATACTACTCATGACTGGTATTCATCCGATTGTTGCTTAGCTTATAAAAAAATGTTGTTTTTGGCAATACTTTCTCTTTAGTAGCTCCAGTATTAGTCCCTTCCCTCAGATGTCGCGTCAGATATTACGGGGTCTAAGAAATAACCTTCAAATATGTACATGTATTTTAACACATCCTGCACTGAGTGTTCTTGTTTACCCTAGGAATTAACAATTAACATAATGGCATTGGTAGAAAGAAGTACATGTATGCAGATATTTAACTGGCGGGGAAATTATCTATTCTCAAAAAATGATGCACGATGGATGAGGATCACTGTATGCTTGCAATTTTGTCCTTTGGTATTTTGTGTACGGTACCGTCAAAAACCTTTCAGATTTGGTTTCACTTGTGTATTCTAAAAGATGTGCACGGTCAATGCATAAAAGTGTAGTTAATGTATAACTCTGATTGTTGTGATAACCGAATATAATGGTGTCAGACTTCAGTTACCTCGAATAAAGTACATCTGACATCAGTCATGTTGTAACATGTCTGATATTAGATGTACTTTATCCGAGGTCGATTAGGGCCGAGTTAGAGTGCTTGACCTTGTGGTAATTATGGTTGCGAAGCTATTTCGTTCCGGGTTTTAATTCTTATATTAAAGGCACGTACAGAAACACCGGTAATTAAATGTATTCAGGAAAATGAACCTACCGAATGAATGAGAAAAACCGGCTTACTCAGAGTGAAGATATGACTAGTTCCAAAACATCCTATACAAGACCTAAATGTACAGTATTTAGAACAAACAATTTTTGAAGTGGTTGTAATATAAAATACGTTTGCACTCACACTGTATTTATTTATAGTATAATTTCACAAAAATCTTTCGGGACAACACTGAGTAGGTGGGTTGATGAAATGTCATGCATGATACAGTTGTGCTTTGAATCTTTGCAACACACTAGGGTTCTCGTTCTCTTTTTTTCCCCTTAAAATAAAATTAACTCAATGATAAATAGTCGATGAGAGAAGAAAATAGTCGAAGAAAATGATCTTTGTATCCATAGCTCAACACGCTATCCACTAGACCACCGTGGTAGCTCGACGAGATGCGTACTTAAAAATGCTTTAAAGGTAACTGGTTGACTAAATAACATCAATGTTCTCGATATATTATTCTGTTTCATGAATAAACATGCTGGCCCGATCGAAACTATTGAATTATTCATGACTTTGGAGTATATCCCGCCTATGGGAAAGAAATTCGCGGCCTGTACATGTCACTGATGTGTTTATAAAACTCGACGGTGAAGCGCAAAGCCCAATAATAAACTGATGATATTCGATACTGCGAATACAGTGGTGTTCCCTAAGGCCAAAAAAAAAAGTCTCCGGTTTCTGGTATGGAGCTTGCCCAAAAAGTGGTGCGGCGACGCGGCTTTTTTTTTTTTTACCTGATTTTTTTGCTTCAAATGTCGGCTGATGACTGCAAATGGTGCCCGACTAAACTTAGTGCAAATATGTGGGAGTCCAGAGAGGCCACATAAAGCTTATTCTCGACCATCACCCCCATCTTAAAACACGTTAAAATTGTGCAGCAGCAGGATTCCAGTCAAACCAGTGAGTTTGGCGGTTTTGAGACATCATCTTTCATTCAAAAAAAACCTGGCTACGGCGACGCGCGCGCATACCAGAAACCGGAGACTTTTTTGGGGGCCTAAAAAATGCGGCGCACTTCGACGTTTTCCCCGTTTTTTTCTCATGTTGTGTTCCCGCACTTCAAATCATTCAGTCAAATATGCTTGCTGTTGAACCTTTGTGAACAATTTCAGTGCCATGAAATTTAGTCCGAAATCTAGAAACGTGGCGTCCGGAAATTGGGCACAGAATCAGCTGCGTGTTCCCTAACGTGGCGCACTTGAGCAAGTCTCGGAAAATACCAAATACCATGTGGACCTGTTTTGTTGTCAGGTCCACATAAAGACGGTTAGGTTGGTACACACATCCCGAAATGTGTCATCGCTTTGTTCTCGTGTAGGCCTATACAAACAGGTTAGAAATCGAAAGTTATTTTCAAAACGCTCCTATTTGAACCCTGTGTCGAAATTCTGACCTAAATGCCCCTTATAATACATGTACATTAATTTGCAACTGAGATAATTATGTCCACCAAGGAGGTTATGTTTTCATTGGATTTTGTTGGTTGGTTGGTTGCCTTTGGTTCGTCTGTTAACAAGATAACTCAAAAAGTTATGGACGGATTTGTATGAAAATGTTTTAAGGGGTGGTCCTTGGTGCAAGTGCAAATCGATTAGATTTTGGAAGCGTTCCGGTCCGGATCCGGGATTTTTTTAAAGGATTCTTCACCATTTATGCCAGTATTTCTTTGGGGGTGTGCTGACAACATGGCGGGGAATTAGCGCTCTCTGAACCATGGCGGAGGTTTGCGCTCTCTGAGTGCTTTCCAATTTTTTTTTTTTTTTTTTAGAAACGAATGATATCCTAATTACTATGTTGAATCGGCATTCTGAGTCTCCTTCAATAGGACGCTGTTTAACGCATACCCAGTATCGCAGTTAATAATTAAACTTTG